CAAGCATACCAACGGCAGACGCTCATTTTCGGACAGGCGTGGCATTTCGTAATGTTGAATAATTGCGTAATTTTGTTGTTTTTTCTGAGTGGTTGTTGTCAGCACGATGCTAAACAATGCATATGGAATCCCGTTAACGCACATGTTTTTATAACCATTCTTGGGTAGTGAAATGCATGTGGCCGAAGTCGTCCAAGGCGCCGCAGTTCGCTGTGTAGGTTTGGGCACGCCAGGAACCCTGTGATCGTGGGTTTGAATCCCGATTTGCCCCCATTAGACCATGAGCCACATGTTCACTTTTCACATATTGGTACCATCTGGGGGGACCAAGAGGCATACTCATTTTGAGATTGCTATACGTATATACATTCCGAAAAGGTATGATGGACTTGTTGGAGTGGTAGCTTAGCCTTGGAATGACCATAAAACAATAAACTTCCTAAAAATAATTCCACAGAGGTCCCATTGGAAATCTACTACTCTTAAATGAATAAATGGTTTATTCATAATTATGTTGAATTATAAAAATTTGCTCCATTTATATATTTTCCACGAAATTACAAAGCTTGCAGGACCGTCATATATGTTTTATAACATGTTGTTAAATGTTCGGATTTTCTAAAGAATCCATTTATCCATAGGTTCAACAGAACTGTTTCCTTCAAGCAAAGTTCACAATCATCAATCAGGCTAACTTATCATTACTCGCTTGAATCTCTGGGTTCTCCTTATTCATGTTGTCACCTATCTGTAGCCCACACGTGGACATTCATGTTAGTCCATTGGCATGGCATTCATAACTGGGCAACTTACTTGCATCCGGGGTAGAATAGGTCTTCAGCAACACATGCTTGCCGTAAAAGGTGACTATGCTTGTCGTAAGAGGCGACTAACGGGATCGGGTGGTCAGGCTCGCTGACTTGGTTGATGCATGTCATCGATCCCGATTGCGTGGATCGATGCTCATGACGTCAATCACTGGATTGTCTGAACCAGACTCGATTATTAATCTTGAATTGAGTCATTCTGAGACGAATCTACTGCTCCGACAAATCCATCACTTTTTTTACATGTATAGTCAAACACGGTTGTGTCGAAGTTAAAGGGAACCGCGTAAAAACTTCGAGTTATCCGAGGTTAAAAACAAATGGGAATAATGAATAAAGAAAGAATACGCAGGGATTAAGTTTATACTTCGAGACAACCGTAAGTTGGACACATATCCTTTGACACGTGGCGGAAAACGCAACACGTAGGTTTGAAAGACATTTTCGCCCTGATCATGTTTCTGTGTTTGTTAGCATTAACCCGTGTTCGTTGGTTTCATAAAGTTAATTTTTAGAGTTTTTTTATTTTCATATATTCGTTGTCCTTCCGTGCGGACCTCACGAATCCCGCTGGTGACAAACGTTTTTCATAAAATTGTCCTGTCATCAAGATAAATGATAGGGGGAAAAAGTTCCGTCATTGCCAAGAGGTGTTTGGTATGTTATACCTCGGAAAAAAGAGCTATGGTTTAAGCTAAGTTAGAAGCTTAAATAACTGGAAAATGAATTACGTTTGCTAGTGATGTGATATACGAAGAGTGAGTGAGTGGATTTAGCGCGGCTTTTAACAATATTCCAGTTATATCACGGCGTGTCAGCTTATTGTGGGAGGAAAGCCCGAAGTGATGCAGGTCTCAGACGTTTACCACTTCGGTGAAACCCACGAGCACGGGTATGGTGTTTACAAACCAAGAAACATAATCGGGGCGAACCGGGAATCGCATCAACAATCATAGGTTTCTGCCCAAGGGACGCAACTCGGCACTGCGAATTGCGTCGCCATAGCCGACTTGGCCACACGTGCCACCGATAGACGAAGAACTGTTAATAGTGCGCTAGTGCTAAAGGTGAAAGACGTGACTCCCATTTGTCAAACCTGGAAAGTGAATGTGGTTACTTAAAGATCATTTACAGTGCAGCTTTGATAAACAGTACCCCTATGTGTAATATCGCCATAACGAACCTCCCTTGTCTGGACGAAGGGAGACCTGACTCAAATGTGACACGCACTGAAGTCACGTCCGTGATGTTCAAACTTTGGGAAAACCATGTCCCCGTGATAGAAGCGGACTTGTTTTAACCAGGACATGTGTTCACTGCTAAACGTGGACTGAGAAATAACAGGACCTACCAAAACGTGTACAGAGTACTGTTCATTTGAAAATATTTTATTTAATTTGAAGTTTACACGACGTTTATACAGTTTGGCCCTCACTCTATGAAGGTTCATACTCCAATGAACTCACACAAGTGAAAGTCAGTTCGTAAATAATGACATTTTGCGTTGTGTTCATTGTAATTCCTGCAAATTCCTGTCGTCACGCGTTTTTGGATCCATTTCCCAATGAATGTAAAAAAAGCCACGCCAACCGAAGCGGACCACTTTTATTACTACGGAAAGTCGGGGAATCCCAATATTATAGTCGAGGGAATTCTCTTTCTGCTTAAGAGTAACGTTATGCACAGGACATGCATATTCATTGTCAAAACAACCGTTAAGATCGAAGGCCGAGAAGGAATGAAACAGCAAACGTGCAGGCTCGCTCGCCTGTTTTTTCCCCGCTCGCCTCGGTCCCACAACTTTCATGTCTTCGGGTTTCATTTCTAACTAGAGATCTTGCATTTTTCCAACCTCGTATGTCTCCCCGTTCTCAAGGAACTAATGTTTGAATCTGGCGGTAACTGACCTTGTCAACTGAAACAGCCGCCTTCACATATTTGTTCCGGTTCGTTACAGTCTGACTGTTGCACTTCTCGCCTCTCACATGGTATTCCAGCCATATGACATCGGTCTGAAGTGATTCCCAACTGTGTCGACCAACATTTCAATTTTGAAAATCACTCTATGCCTTTACATTAAAGTTAGGATATTTCAGAGAGATAAAATCATCCAACTCATAGCTCTAAATGCAGTCGACTTTATAAATCGTTGGATTCGAATATTGTGTAGAGCAATACCATATGGGTGTAATGATATAATATATGACGTTGGCAGTCTTACCAACGAACTGCAAACGTCTGTGTATTGAGTCTGTTTGCGGTATCACAACGACACCACAAGAAAGGACGAAGGCCAAGTGATATTATTCATTTGGAAGATGTGTTGCCTCTCCTTCAGGAACCCTTGGGACTGCACAGGGTAAGAACCTGTGGCTGCCAAGACTACACACTGTTACCAATCACAGGTGACCTCTCTATTGTTGACAACAACAACCCTCGATTATTATTTATATATGGACCTAACTATGGTAAACAGCTTCCTGCTACGAATTAGGATCACATCTTTAGAGTGATTATCCATGATGTTAAGGTGTACGCTAAACAATGGCCATTAGAGACGATGAGCCCCTCCAATGTCTTCCAGAGTTGGTTAAGCTCTCACATATTGTCAGTTTAGTGACAAATGCCCCATGGATTAAGGAATGAACCCATGGATCAAGGAATAAAGCCATGAATCAAGGAATGAACCCATGGATCAAGGAATGAACCCATGGATCAAGGAATGAAGTTTTTCCCGAAGTTTGTCGTATGTGCCAGTGATGTACAACGTTGAAACATCAAATGTTTTGACTTCGTTCTGTTCTGAGATTTTTAAAAATCAACCAATCCCTTTGAATTATTGAGAATACAAATGCTGTTGATTTCACTTGTTTCAAATACTACCGTATTTAAAAAGGCCTTCTGTGATTGCCTGACAGATTATGGTTAACCTTTGAGACAGGGATTTGGATGTACATTTGCTGGACACTGCAATATATCTCTGCACGGATTTGTATTGAGCTTTGGAATTCAGTCCAAAAGAGGAATCGATGTGTCTTCAGGTTGTAGAGACGAGACAAAAGTTTATAATACTGATATACTCAACTGACATACTTACCGCCATGTGTTTGTGACGGATGCCATCGGTGGGGCAGGATACGCCCCCCCCCCCCCCCCCCCTTCGTGGAGACCTGGTATCATCACTATTTGTGAGTGGTTCTTAAACGCATGCTTATGCTATATTCGGAATCGTCCAGTGGACTCTGCCTTCGGCTGTTTTTTCTTATGTTAATGGAAAAGGATATGTTCTTTTTATTTATATCACGGTGTGTCAGCTGCTAAGTGTATAGTTAGTGGGGTATTCACGTTAAACTGCGGCTTGTATCTCAATTGGATTGCAATATAAAATTGGCATTAATCCGGACTAGTACAAGCAGCCATACACACACAAACACTTTAAGTGCAATATAAGTGCAATAATCGTGGACGCGACGTTAAACCCCATTTTATCTGACCTCATCTCACCTCAACTGAGAAGGTGCATGCTTTACGTGACTTTCAATATGGCTTTCCTGTACTGGTGTCGTTGTACGTGACGTCAGACAAGGTGGTCGGATCCATACATGTTGGATTCGTCTCACACTTGTCTGTTTTTAAGTCCTTCGTCATTACATAGTCCTATCTGTCACCACGTATACATTTTTGTATACACAGTATATTTTTGTGGCCAGTATATTTAGTTATATTCCTAAGTTAACAAATTGCCACAGTCAACCATCTTCGAGCTCTTTCACAGCAGAGTAAATAAGCAAGTATAGACAATAAAAACAAGTGATTCATTGACGGAGCAACGTGCTACGCCGGCGGGATTCTAAACAAGAATCCCCATGGAGTTTACCTTCGACAACGTTGCCGTTACAGCAGTAGAAACTAACATTTTTAGTCATCTAGTCCCTATAATGATAACACATAGCAAAACCCTAACTTGTCCTCGTGATACCTTAACTATGGGGCAGTTTGGCAAGGACTACAGGACTAGTGAAGAAGTTATTGGGTACCTATTCTGGTCGGAATCCCCACAGATGGTACCTTCAAGAAGCACGTGACGGTGCCGACATTCTATAATGTCATCGAGGATACCTGTCCCTTTCGTATTCATACAACCACATATCTATCACTTTATACTTTACTTACCTGCAGACAAGCTGTCGCGATGAAGACGGCAGTAGGGTTCTTCCTCAGTAGGCGCTGGGGTAGGAGGTTACTCCCGTAGGCGAAGTACCAGAAGTGGGCCATCTTCTGTTGAAGCGTGTGTGAAGTTGAATGTCTAACGTTCACACAGAATTAACGACGATCCTCTTCACCTGCATTGCGTCATCCCTTCCATGGATGTGGCTCGGCTACGCCCCGTCCCAGTACCACAGCTGCTGATAATTGGTTTATTCAAACATAGGATGTCGTAACAGAATTTATTACTTGCCCGTGAAGAGATCACCCGTTTAATAAACATACAGCTGTATTACACATTGTGTAATACCAAAACGCGTGCTTATGTACTCTCGGAACACGTTTCACAAATTTTGAAAGCTCTCAACATCCCTTGGCTTATTCAACGACATTGCGTGTGGAGATGATAGATCACTGAGAGGAGCTTATGCACACTCGATGACCCCAGCAACCTTGTTGCTAGGTTGACGTCACATGGCATTGTTTCGCCTAAAGGATCTTGCAACAAAATTCCACAAATTACGTCATCGGGTATTGTGACGTCATTGTAAACTTTGAGGTGCAAGGCCCCGTTCCACAAGGCGATCGTACGGTAGCGCGACGACAGTCGTTGGTCTAAGTTAAAGTATATGAGTTGCGATAACCTTAACGCTACGATAATTTTGTGGAACGGACGCCTGAATTCTAAAGGTGGACTGTTGTCTGGTATTAAATTCATACGTTTCAACTTTTGACGTGTTTGAAGTATTACTGTGTTAAACTCAATTGGATTATGCCGTGGATCGTGTAGGTGTCAGCCTATTCACACTCAAATGTATAATTCTAAAAAACGTTATAAATGGCCAGTAATAAATAAAATACTAAACTCGCTCCCGTGTAAAACCAATTTTATGAAACTCGTTAATAGTTATGGTATCTGACTCGCTTTCGCTCGTCAGATACCACAACTATTAACTCGTTTCATAAAATTGGTATTACACGGGAGCTCGTTTAGTATTCTATATATATTGACAGCTGTGTCAGTCACCAATGGCAACTTGCCATTAAGTCTACACATTTATGCATGAATCCTCTGAAACAACCGGCTGTTGTAAACGTAGTGGCCATAAAGTTCCGACTCCCGTGATGGGATTCGAACCACGGATCAGTGGTCGGACGCCTTGTCCACATGACCAAAGAGGTTAACCCCGTCAGCAAGCTGACAAGGTAAGGATGTCATCTGTGGGATGACTCCACGCACTGCTACATAAACATGACGTCATTCTGTTCATCTTCCCGAGGCAAGGGAGTTAACTGACTACAGAAGTCCAATTTCCCCCCTTGCCGAACTAGGCTTGTATTTTGGAGCTACATTTTGGCTGGACTAACGAGTTTGTGAATAGTCCAATCAAAATCCCATTACGAAATCGACATCCGGTTCGCAAAAACCGGTTCAAGCCAGGACATTCCAGCCTAGTTCGGCAAGGGTGGAAACTAATTTTTCGTCATCTACATCAACAAAACCACATACAGTTTTTAATTAAAACTAATATTTTAAATAGTCTAAATAAAGCCTTTAACAAAAAACACCTCGCAAGAATGTATTATTTGTGTCAGACAAGCTAATTTCTTTTCAACAGACTGAAGCATAACATTGTTTTCAAAGTATTTCCTGGGATAATTTCTGGAGTTTAATTCATAATAATTAGCGTATTCCATATTATTGTGAAACATTGCATGAAATGAACTGAATATAATCATAACGTCAACGCCAGAGAATAACCAGTCTCGATTCCCCGACGAAACAGATTCCACTGGACGTAAATGGTAAAAAAGCGGTTAAAATGATATTATTGGATCACTAAAAATCAGTGTTCACGAAAAGGGTAAGCTCGTCCTGCTCTACCGGAAGCACCAGCCACTCACACAATTTGCATAAACAATATCGATGAAAGTATGAGCTGTTGCGTTTTGTTACTTATAATATTTTTTCTTTTGATGTTTTGCGTATCCAAGACAAACATGTAAAACAAATTAGCTTATACCTTCACCTTTTGGGTGGGTAGGTATAGAATAGAGCTCTCGCCACTGATTTGGTTTTGTAGAGATTTGCACAAATATCAAGCGTATTTGCCTCGTATATATAAATCATGCTATTTCTCTTTGGGTATGTTGTCTGGCGCTATATTTGTCTGCAGACTTTAGACGAAGGACCTCGTTGGATTTCGGCCCAATATCGTTGGAGGAACAATGTATAAAGGAGGGTATTTTCACTATTTTGTGTCATAATCCTTATTCCCAAAACAATAACCATGGATACAAGGTTTGTAGATATTCAGCTATTTGGAATCGTATGGTATACAGTATACTCCGTACAATTAATAATTTTCACTCTTGTTGATGTAAATATGCGCCAATAGAGTTAATATTGTCGATAATATTCTACACGAAGCGCACGTACAATATACATTTCCCGCCCCAAGCCGCATATCGTATCGTCAATACAATAGTTGACACAATGTTGTTGACGGGCGGTCGATTCGCTGTGCAGAGTTGCGTCCCTTGGGCACGCCAGAAATCTATGATTGTTGGTTCGAATCCCGGTTCGCCCCGATTATGTTTCTAGGTTTGTCAGCACCATACCCGTGCTCTTGGGTTTCACCGAAGTGGTAAACGTCTGACACCTGCATCATTTCGGGCTTTCCTACCACATTATGCTGACACGCCGTGATATAACTCGAATACTGTTAAAAGCGGCGTTAAACCCAACTCACTCACTCACTGTCCGACAGACTAAGCGCTGACCTTGTGACGTGAAACTGGTATAATAAGGAGCACATTCCCAGAAAACGTGCAATGTTTAGGTATTGTTTGTGAGAGATGAGAATACTGTTTCAGACGACAGAAATTTAGAATGACGCTTGTGTATTTTAGGGTGGTAAATATCCTGTATTCGGAATGAACATTTATTTAGCGAGTCTTCGAACCATATTTACCATTTCCAAACACACAAGCGTGATCATCTCTATGTGTTTTCAAAGCAGAGCTAGACAGCTTGGGTTGTATACTTCCCAGGGAGGTGAGAATGAAAATCAAGTTAACACTTTTTCATTGACGGGCTAATAACGCAAGGCTTTGAGCATTCTTGTGTGGATTTGGCGCATTATGAACATCACAATGTTATCATTATTGATGGTAGTAGTAGTAGTAGTAGTAGTAGTTGTAGTCGTCGTACTAGTAGTAGTAGTAGTAGTAGTAGTGTAGTAGTAGTAGCAGTAGTAGTAGTGTAGTAGTAGTAGCAGTAGTAGTAGTAGTAGTATAGTAGTAGTAGCAGTAGTAGTAGTAGTAGTAGTTGTAGTCGTCGTACTAGTAGTAGTAGTAGTTGTAGTCGTCGTACTAATAGTAGTAGTGGTGTAGTAGCAGTAGTAGTAGTAGTAGTAGTAGTAGTAGTAGTAGTAGTAGTAGTGTAGTAGTAGTAGCAGTAGCAGTAGTAGTAGTAGTAGTAGTAGTAGTAGTAGTAGTAGTAGTAGTGTAGTAGTAGTAGCAGTAGTAGTAGTAGCAGTAGCAGTAGTAGTAGTAGTAGTAGTAGTAGTAGTAGTAGTAGTAGTAGTGACACTGTTGTTCTTGTTCTTAACCGCACTAACTTAGATTTGGACAGTATTGTGTTTGTGACTGAAGGAGGGGTAAAAGTCATTCAAGCCTAGCTGCATGTCCCTTCTTTGTACCCGGTCAATAAACCATGTGGTTGTGACGTCTATTGGCACGCACCGGTAACCAGGATGTGTCACTGTGCACGGCATGTTTTACACGTGCAATATGCAAAGTTTGAGCGAGTTTACTATATTTGTGATTGAGTGAAATAATGTTGTTCTACGCCGCCCTGAATCAGTATAATTAAAAAACATTGCCAGGACCAGTTGTTTGATAGGCATTGCAGAAGTTGGCGGATGACAAAGTAGACACAATTTATGGATAACAACTTCTTTAATACTGTAAAAAGCGACGTTTCCGTATAGATCCTTTTACCGTTGTCAAGCAAGACTGAATGAGGGACATTGTACAGAATATATATAGTAGGAGGAGGATTGACAGTAACAACACTTGCATACATTAGTGGGATAACATGAGTAAATAATGACAACAGAAGGATAATGCTGTCACAACATGATTATCCTTCTGTTGTTATCCATAAATTGTGTCTACTTTATTGTCAGGACCATCGGTAGGTTGGCCCTGCCGCGTCATGCTAAAAGACGTTAAAAGGTGGGACACAAGTGGTGCGACCTTAGGCTCGACCTTAGTATATTGTGTCTGAATGGGGCATCAATGAATCAGACTTGTACAAGCACACACAAACACACACGCACGCACGCACGCGCGCGAAAACACAACATAAAGAAAACGCGCATGCACATTTCTACACTGTAAAAAATGTGTTTAGAATATTAACACATACACGACATGTTTGGCTCTGAACATGCCTAAGAATATGTTTAAATCCTAAACGGAATACACATTTTGTGTGTTATATCTGAACACGTTTATGGCACACATGAAATGAACTATCGGTTCACAGCCTAAACACCACCTAAACACAACATCCCTATGATCTAAAGATGTTCACGACAAAGTAAGAATTCTAACATGTGTAAATGAAATGCATATGCCACTGGACATTAAGCCAATATGAATATAGGGTATCATATATGCATAAGAACGCTGTGCAAATTGAGGTCAAGGTCATCTGGTCTGTTCATTCATTTATATGGCCAGCTATCCATCAGAAGGGCTGAAGGGATTGTGTTAGACAGGAACACGTTTATGGAGACCCACAGCTCAATATATAGAGTAAACAATTTCATATGCACCATGCAGCATGATCAATGAGACTTGATGTATGAAGTATGAAACATGATGAATGAAGCATTGTGTATGGAGCTTAAATCATAATGAATGAGACGTGATGTATGAAGCATTACATATGACGTACGAAGCATGATGAATGAAACTTAATGTGTGAAGTATGAAGCGTTGCGTATGAAGCATAACGTATGAAGCATGATGAATGAAGCATTGCGTATGAAGCATGAAACATGATGAATGAAACTTCATTATGAAGAATGAAGCATGGTGAGTGAAGCATTATGTATTAAGTGTGAAGCATGATGAATGAAACTTGATGTATGAAGAA